AAGTGATCATTCAGCCCCAGCGTCCCAAGTAGCTGGGACTATAGACATATACCACTACACTCAGCCAACTTTTAAAGATATATTTTGTAGAGACAGAGTCTTGCTATGTTGTCATGCTGGTCTTGAATTCCTGGGCTCAAACAATCCTCCAATCTCAGCCTCCCAAAGTAATAGGATTACAGGCATGAGCCACTGGTACCTGGCCTAAAATGGAATTATTTTAAAACGTTCAAATTACCCACAAGAAGTCAAGAAAAAGAAAATAAAGAAATAACAATAGCAACAACAAACAGAACAAATACAAAACAAAAAAGGGCAGACTTGTTCCCTAATATATATCAATGATTACATTAAATGTAAATGGTCTAAATATGATAAGACAGAGACTGGCAGTAGATAAAACACATGACCCAATTATATACTATCTACATGAAATTCACTTCCAATATAACAATATAGGTAGGTTGAAAGTAAATGGATGGAAAAAATATGGCATGCAAACATGAATCAAAACAAAGCAAGAGTTATATTAACATCAGATAGACTTCAGAGCAAAGAAAATTTCCAGGAACAGAGAAGGATATTACATAATGATAAAAGAATAAGTCCACCAAGAAGGCATAATAATCCTAAATGTGTTTGCATGAAACTTCAAGGATGCAAATAAGTGAAACAAAAACTAATCAAGTGAAAGGAGGAACAGATAAATCCATGGTTATAGTTGGAGACTTCAACCATCTCTACCTCAAAAATTGATAGGACAAGTAAACAGAAATCAGCAAAGTTTTTTAAAAGAATTAAAAAACACTATCAACTAAAGGATATACTCATCATTTATAAAATTCCACCCAACAACAGAATTCCTTTCAAGACCCCACAGAATAGACTGGGCACAGTGCCTCACAACTGTAATCCCAGCCCTCTGGAAGGCCAAGGTGGGAGGACTGCTGAGGACAGGAGTTTAAGTCAAGAAACCACAGAATATACACCAATATAGACCATATCCCGGGCTATAAAACCTCAATAAATTTAAAAAAATTCATACAGAGTGTGTGACCACAATATAATCAAATTATAGTAAAAGAAAGGTAATGAAAACCTCCAAACACTTGAAAATTAAACACACACTTTTAAGTAATCCATAGATTAAAAAGGAAATTATAAAAAATACACTGAATTGGATGAAAATGAAAATATATCAAAATTTGTGGCACACAGCTAAAGCAGTACTGAGAGGAAAATTCATAGCACTAAAATGCTTACATTCAAAAAAAAGAAAAGTCTCAAAACAATAATTTAAGCTCACAGGTCAAGAAACTAGAAGAAGAGCAAAATAAACTCAAAGCACAAAGAAGGAAGGAAATAATAGAGAAGAAATCAATAAAATTGAAAATTTTTAAAATAGAGAAAAATCAATGAAACAAAAAGCTGGCCCTTTGCACAAAGTGATACTCTGGCTCAAAAAAATTTTTATTTCTATATGCTAACAATGAACATATGGAAACCAAAACTAAAAATACCATTTATAATCACTTCAAAAAATGATCTCAATTAAGCTATAATTTTTAAAATAAAATACTTAGATGTAAATCTAACAAAACATATACAGAACTTGTATGCTGAAACTACAAAACATTCCTGAAATTGAAGTGCTAAATAAATGGGGAGATATATCATGTTTTATGGATTCAAAGAGTTAACATAGCAAAGATGTCAATTCTCCCCCAAATTGATATACATGTTTAATGCAACTGCTAAAAAAATATAAGCAAGAGTTTGTGGATATAGATAAGATTATTCTAAAATACATATGGAAAGGCAAAGAAACTAAAATAGCTAAAGCAATTCTGAAAAATAATAAAATAGGGAAAACCATGCTATTCTATTTCAAGTCTTATTACAGAGTTATAGTAATCAAGATTATATAGTATTGTCAGAGGAATAGACATAGATCAATAAAAACAGAATACAGAGCCAAAAATAGACTTACAAAAGTACATCTAACTGACTTTTTACAAAGTGCAGAAGTAACTGAAGAGAGGAAAGATAGTCTTTTCTACAAATAGTGCTGGGGTGACCTAAACCTCACATCTTACATAAAACTTAACTCAAGATTTATCGTAGATTTAAATATGAAATATAAAACTGGAAGAAAACATAGGAGAAAATCTTCAGGATCTATGGTTTGGTGAGGAGCTCATAGATATGACACCAAAAGCGTAATCCATAAAGATAACTGAGTCAACTGGACTTCAACAAAATTGAACACTGTTTCTCTATGAAAGCCCCTGTGAAGAGGTTGAAAAGACAAGCTAGAAATCGGGAGAAAATATTTATAAACCACATATCTGATAAGCAAATAAAACCTAGAATTTATAAAGAACTCTTGAAATTCAAGAGTGAAAAAAGACACAAACAATCCAATTTTAAAATGGGAAAAATACACAAACAGATATTTTACCAAAGAGGATATACTGATGGCAAATTAGAGCATGAAAAGAAAAGAGCCATTAGGAAAATGCAACTTGAGACCCCAATGAGATAATACTGCATACCCATCAGAATAGCTAAAATGATAAACAGTGACAATATCAAATGCTGGCAAGCATGGAGAGAAACTGATCTCTCGTGCATACTGGACTGTAAAACAGTATACTCTAGAATAACAGTTTGGGCTGGGCATGGTGGCTCATGTCTATAATCCCGGCACTTTGGGAGGCCAAGGCGGGTTGATCACCTGAGGTCAGGAGATCAAGACCAGCCTTGCCAACATAGTAAAACCCCATTTCTACTAAAAGTACAAACATTAGCTGGGCTTGGTGGCAGGCACCTGTAATCCCAGCTACTTGGGAGGGTGAGACAGGAGAATCACTTACACCTGGGAGGCGGAGGTTGCAGTGAGCCAAGACTGCACCACTGCACTCCAGCCTGGGCAACAGAACGAGATTCCATCTCAAAAACAAAAGAAAACAGTTTTGCAGTTTCTTTTAAAACTAAACATGCAATTACTGTACAATCTACCAATCATACTCCTGGCATTTATCCCAAAGAAACAAAAACTTACATCCACACAAATACCTGTGTACAATTGCTGATTGAAGCTTTATTAATAACAACCAAACCTAGAAATAATCAAAATGTCCTACAAATGGTGAATGGATAAACATACCACAGCATATTCATTCAATGGAATACTACTCAGCAAAGAAGAGGAACAAACTATGGTACTGATACACAGAACAATGTGGATGGATCTCAAGTGCATTATGCTGACTGCAAAAAGCAAGTATCAAAGGGTTATATATTGTATGCATCCTTTTATGTAACAGTCTTGAAATGACAAAATTATAGAAATGGAGAGCTGATACACAGTTTTCAGAGTTTAGGGATGGCAGAGGGGAGGGAATGGGTGTGACTATGAAGGAACAGCAAAAGGGAGATTTTGTGGTGACAGAATAATTCTGTATCTTGATTGCAGTCTACACGTGATAAAGTGACAGTACGACACACACACACACACACACACACACACTTTATACCAATGTCAATTTCCTGGAGTTGCTATTGTAACAGCGTTATATAACATGTAATCAATGGGGAAAACTGGGTGAAGGGCACATGAGGCTTCTCTGTACTACTTTTGCAATTTCCTGCAACCATAATTATCTTAAGAGCTAGAAAAAAAGCATTAACTTAAGATCCTCATGTATTGCTTTTTTAAATTATGCTCACATTTTTTTGTTTAAATATCATTTTAAAATATCTCCACCAATAGAACACTAATCTTATCTGCTAATTAACCGTAATTCTGATGCTTTAACATGAACACTGAAGGGCTTACTTTATAGTGAATAGCTACTCAGCTACATGACACTTCCAAACTGGAAGGTACTGTAATCTCAGGACTCTAAAATAAAGCTGCTCAAAGATAACTAGTATTCAACTGAAAACAGGAGAGCAGGCTGAGCACAGTGGCTCACACCTGTCATCCCAGCACTTTCGGAGGCTGAGGTAGGAGGACTGCTTGAGTTCAAGGATTTAAGACCAGCCTGGGCAACATAATGACACTCATCTCTACAAGAAATAAAAATGAAGATGCCAGGCATGGTAGTGCACACCTGTGGTCCCAGCTTCTCGGGAGTCTGAGGTGGGAGGATCGCTTGAGCTCAGAAGGGCTGTGTGAGCTGTGACTGAATCACTGCACTCCAGCCTGGGTAACAAAGTGGGACCCTGTCTCAAAAACCAACAAAAAATCAATTCCACAAGGACGAAGGCAGCTTCAGAATGTTCGTAGAGACACTAGAATGTCTTTCAGACCTTACGGGATCCATCTGCAAGGACGTGGATGTCACTACCTACCACCTTGCTGGCACGTATTGGGAAACACTCAGTAATCACTGCAAAGCAAATGAATGAATGACCTGAGGGCTGCCTTGTTGTTGCTCACTGAAACAAGAAATGCAGGTTTACAGATCCCTTGCCATAATTCTGATCTATATTTTGAACACTTTTCTGCAATAAATCTGTACTTGGAAAGGAAAAAAGAAAATTTATACAAATGAAATTTGTCTAAAAGTAGAGTGAAGTAGTAATCAAATACACAGCATCTGTGTTACTAAGTTTTATAACAACATATTTTAATCTGCCTCCGTTATTTCCTAAATCCTCTTCCTGACACCTGTTTATAAACTGCTCATGTCATACATTATCCCCGTTCAACAGACTTTGTGCCTATGCTGGAGGCTACTCTTCCTGATTTTCCTTCCACCTTCTACCCTTAACCCCTCCTCAAATCCCTACCACATGTAGAGAGAGAGAGAGAGAGAGAGAGAGAGAGAGAGATGACTGCACCTTGTAAAATAGGAATTTGGACAAAGGCTTCATTCGGGACACAAATATTCAAACACAAGCACTTACCATAAAGTATATACAGAATACAGAAGACTCAAATGCACAATACAGAAGACAAAACTGAGTTGTGTCACCCTTACTGAATTCACCTTCAGCCACAGGACTTGAGAACTGTTGACCAAATGTGTAGATTCTATTAAGGCTCCAAGTTGCTTGGGGATGGAGTGAAGAGGAGGGTGGAGATCAGTTCTGCCGTTTGTTGGGAACTGAGGGGGAGGAAACTGAACTTGACAGTAGCTTCTACCCTGATACGGTTGTTAAATGCTTGTAACTATAAGGTAGACGTAATCTGCACTGGAGAAGTAGGAAAACTGCAGCTGTAATGCTCAAGAGCCAGATTCAAAGCCAGACTTCCTTACTTCAAATACCCTAAAGCCTGCCATCTTGCCATCACATCCTGCTTCTGTAAGTCCACCCTCTGGGACTACAGCTACTCCTTTTCTCTAAAATAATTTTTTTTTGTAAAAATAATTTCTTCTTCTTACAACACTAATAAGGTAATCGGAGACCTGCTGGTGGAGGAAGGAGCCTGAGGCTGCAGCTGATCCAACTGTCCTTTGCCCACGGAACTGCCTTGGAGTCGGGTTGTTCTCTCTCTCACCATGCTACTTTCTGAATGTAGGTGACTTCTACGCTATTCTAAGAACAAAAACCACTGGGACTCCAAGAGGGCTTCTGCTGCAAACACAAACACTTACATCAGAGCTATTAACAACATGGTCCAAAATGCCCTTTCCAGAGGAAAACCGTTCATTCAGTTCTACCTAGCAACGTTAAACCACTTCCAACTGCTTCCATTTTTCATTTTACTAAAATTATCTTTAGCCGGATCAGCTCTTCTCTGCAAAACGTAATTAAATGTTGCCCTATCTGTTGGTTCTGAGCTGCGTTTTTTTTCCGACCACGTCACAAACTTCGCCAATTACTTCCCACCACTGGCAAGAGTCTTTCGTGGCTTGGATTGCTACAAACCTAATCCCGCCCCCCCGCCCCCCGAGTGCTTTATCCTCCTGGCTCTGGGGGTCTACGTGTAAATTGCAACGAACACACGACCCGGAACGGAACGGCCTGCGCCCCGCGCTCCGAGAGGCTCCGTGTATTGGGAATCTGAAGTCCCGGGTCGCGACACGCTACGGGGAGTCCGCTGTCGAGACGCGAAACGCTCCGGGAGCTTCGCGGACACTTAAACACACAGTCGCCCCCTTCGTCACTCCCCATCTCTTCCAACTGGGCGCCCGTCTGCCAGCGCAGGGTTCCTGCAGGCGCGCGCCTTGGGTGGCCCCAGGGCCCGGGCAGAGGCTGGCGGGAGAAAGAGGACGGAGGACTCCAGGGAGCCCAGCGAAGCCCCGCGGGGAGCCCCATGGACGAGGCCCGGCCTGAAGGCGGGGCGGGCCTTGCACCGCCTCCACCTCTGGGCCCGCCCTGCGCCACACCCGACCCCGCCTGCTCTCGGCTAACGGGCAGCGGCACCCGCCTCCGCCCGCCAACCCTCACCTCGCCCCGACGGCGGCCTTCGGAAGTCGGCGCCCGCCCGCCCGCTACCCGCCGCCTCCTCAGCCACCTCAGCCGACCCGGCGGCCCCGGCCCAGGTCACCGGCGGCCCAGGCGCAGGTAGGCGGCGGTGCGCGTGCGCGAGTCTTGAGTCCCCACTGGCTGCTGCTGAGCGACGCCCGCACCCAAACCGACCAATCCCGGCGCGCCTCCACGGCCCGGTCTTGGCGGAGGCGCGAACGTACTGGTTCTTAAAGAGCTGCGAGCCGGCCGGAGACGGGGCGTGGCTGCGGCGCGCGCCTCCCGACTCTCTTCCCGCCTCCCGGCTCGCACCGCGACGGTTTGAGGTCCAAGCCGGTAATTCTCACGTCCGGGGGTGAGAGGACGTTTCGTGGTCTGAGCTCGATTCCTTGCCGGGGTAGTAACCGGCCTGACGTCGGGAGGCGGGGAGGTTCCGCGTGACAGAGCGACACGCCCGGGGCGTGGGTTCCGCGGTCCGCGCGGCTGGGCGGGAGGCCCGAGATAGGCAGACCAAAGAGCACGACCGCTGCCAGCCTGGACGGGGCGCCAAAGTCCGACCCAGGGGGACACACCCCAGGCTGGGGCGGAGGCACCGGGAGATGGATGACCGGCTGCGAGGAGATGAGGCGGCGGAGTCCGTCCGCTTCTTCCTTTAGCAAGGATTGAGCACCTGCTGTGTGCCAAGCGTGGTGGAAAAACTGTGTTGGGAGACGAGGGGAGGGGCAGAGCACCCTTCCAACAACCAAACCCCTGTATAAATACAAACTGCTCTTCAGGGAGGACCAGGGGTTTTGAGGGAATTTGCAGACGCTTCTGGGCTGGTGTGGAAATCACAGGAGGCCGGCTGGGCAAAGGGGAGAGAGCAGAACCCTGAGGAAGGCAGCAAAGCTCCTTGGAGGGATGAAAAGAAACCCGGAGAGGGCGGAGTGCAGAGTTCGTGCCTATTTCAGCTGGAAAAGATGAAACATTCTGGAAATGGACAGTAGTGATGATCGCACAGCGTGAGTGTACCAAATGCCACAGGTCCGCACACTTAAAACATGGTTGTGTACATTCTACCGCAAAGAGAAAAGAAACTCAGAGTTTAGAGAGCAACGGAGTGGAGTGAGATCCACTAGAGCGAGCAGAAGGGGCCGGACCGTGTGGGGTCTTATGGCCATAGTGGCAAGTTGAGGACCATGCAACACCGATCACAATTGCATTTTATAAACACACTTTAGCTGCTAAAGTGCGTGTCAAAATGGAGAAGTCTCAACAAAGCTATGGTGGGACTGGCCTGGGAGCCAGTGCAGTCATCTGGGCAAGAGAGAATGGAACTGGAGTGTGGACTGGGGTGAGAGTAAAGAGAAAGATCTAAGCAGGCTGCCGCGAAATGTAGGAGCAACATCAACAGGACTTGGTGATGAGCTGGATGTGAAGGGGCAGTGAAGTAGCTTCCAGCATGATGCCCCTGGTCAGCCTTGAATGAATGGATGGCTGGTGGAGGAATGCACAGATATGGAGAACACCGGAACAGGAGAGAAGATTGATCAAGAGCTCCAGCTTTGCCAAGATGAATTTGAGGCATCTTCGAGACTTTTGGTTAGGATGTTGCAATGATTAGTTTTAGGTGTCAACATAACTAGATTAAGGGATACTCAGATCTCTGGGGGACATTATTTCTGGGTAAGTCTATGAGTGTGTTCCCAGAAGATACTGGCATTTGAATCAATGGACTGAGTAAGGAAGGTCTGTCCTTATCCCATATGGGCAGACTGAAGAAAAAGGCAGAGGAAAGGCAAATTCTCTCTTCTGGAGCTGGGACACCCCTCTTCTGCCCTTGGCATCAGAACTCCAGGTTTCCTGAATCGCTGAACTCCAGATTACATAGTGGAGTTCGTTCATTTATTCATTTAGCAAGTATTGAGCCTTTGGACTCAAGACTTGTACCAGTGGCTCCCCAGATCTTCTCAGCGGCTTCTGTCTTCTCAGAATCGGCTTCTTGGCTCTAAGGGCCACTGGACAAAATCTCACAACCACACAGATCAGTGTTGGACACATTGTCAACCTCAACTAGACCTCAATACCCTTCAGCAGTCCTATTTGCCAAGGCAGCTCTCTCTCCAGCTCTCACCCAAAGTCAACTTCCAAATATCCGGCATGCTCCCCAGATCTCCTATTCTTCAACCCCCTCCCTGGTCTGCACCCTGCTTTCTCCAGAACCTCCTTTACTGAAGAAAGAGCAATCATCTAAGTGATATCCCTCAGCTCCTGACAACTTCTCTCCCTCCAGCTACCACCTTCTTTCCCCTCTCCCCTTTACAACCAAACCTCGTGGAAGAAGTGGTCCATATTTCAACACTCCATTGCTTCACCTTCACCTTTCATCATTTCTCAGTCCCCAGCAGTTCTGGTATCTGCTTCACCACATCACTGAACATGCCCTCATCAAAGGCATCAAAGACCTAGTCTTTATCTTCATGGTTCTTTTTCTTTTTTTTTTTTTTTTTTTTGAGACAGTGTCTTGCTCTGTTACCCAGGCTGGCAATGGCGCCGAGGCTTACTGCAACCTCCGCCTCTTGGGTTCAAGTGATTCTCCAGCTTCAGCTTCCTATTCCACCACACCTAGCTAATTTTTGTGTTTTTAGTAGAGACGGGGTTTCATCATGTTAGCCAGGCTGGTCTCGAACTCCTGACCTCAAGCGATCTGCCTCAGCCTCCCAAAGTGCTCGGATTACAGGCATGAGCCACTGCGCCCAGCCCTTCCTTGACCTTTCAACAGCATTTGCCATTGCTGTCCTGTCAGTCCTTTTCACACTGTTTAAAGAAAAATTGGCATAACCCCCACCTCCCGGTTTTCTTCTCCTTATATCTCTGGTCTCTTTCTCTACTCTGTCTCCATTGCAGCTTCTTTTCCTCTGCCATAAGAGAAACTATCACATTCTCCTTAGGCAGTCTTATCCATTACATAGTTCCAGTCTCTACAAGTGGTTTCTCAAAGCTGTATCTCCTATCTAGCCCTTGTCCCTGAGTTCACAAACCTGAACATCATTTGACATCACCTCCTCACACTGTACATTTCCACAACTGAATTTATCACCTTCATTTCCAGTCCAGCATCTCCCCACTGTTCCCTGCCTGCCTCCATAATGTAAGGAACGAGCCCCCACACCCCACCCGTGGGTACCCTGAGTTCGGTGGAGACAGGGGAATGAGAGAAAGATTAACAATGAAAGTGGGTCCAGGGGACCATCACTTGTAATGGAGACAGTGAAGTCCCCGAGCTTAGGTTCCCCACAGTATTTAGTGGTTACAGTCACTGAGCAGTCAGCAGATGGTGGGGTGAAGGTGAGGTGATGGTGGGGAGGGGGTGGTGCGATGGTGGGGCATTCTTTGGGGAACTGGAACTGGCGGGTCATTCTAAAGATTGGTAGCAGTGGCAGCTTTGTGAGTTTCTTTGAAAAGCAGAAGCATGTGGTTATTACCTATAGACTGCATTTAGGCGCAGCTGGAGGGAGTGAGTCTCACAAGGAGCCTACAAGTCTGGTTACTTTGTGATGCTACCAAAGGGATTTTAAGTCCTTGAGCATGCACTGTAACAGAGTCAGGGTCACGCTGCAGCTGGAACTTGAAGGCTTAGGGAAGTTTGCCTCCCCAGAGGCCTGACGAAGTTTGCCGCAGTATACTGTTCCCAGTACTTGAAACCATTTTTATGTGGCACTCTGTAAGCCCTTCCTCCATTGCTGGTTCCCCCAGCACATAAGTGGTATCACCAGTTTCTCAGTTGCTTAAGCCAGAACCCCAGAAGGCATCCCTAATTTCCCTTTTCTTTCCCTCCCCACTCAGTCACTAACACCTGCCATGTCTACTTCTGATATCTTTCAAATGCATGTGTTTTTCTCATTGCTCCCACTGTCGCTGTTGTAGCAGCCTTGTCACTGTTCTTTTTGTTTCTCTGGCCATCTTCCCTACCTTTCACCATGTTACAGCCAATAAAATTCTAAATGCATCTCAGGCTTCATCATTCTTCTCCCTACAACCATCCATGGCTCCTAGAAGAGTCCAGAATCTGGACACCTGTGTCCTGCTTAAACTCCACCTTGCGTTTATATTGCCTTTATAAACCTTTTCTTCTGGAGGGCTTTCCCTGTATGCTGGAACAGGTTGGTCCCCTATACCTGCCTTACCCTACACCATCTCATTATTTTTTTACCTGATAGAAACTTTAATGATGTTTTAAAAAAAAATCAAATTCTTATATAAACTTCACTCAAAACCTTCGCTTTGGGCCAGGCTCGGTAGCTCACACCACTAGTCTCAGCACTTTGGGAGCCCAAGGCAGGTGGATCACCTGAGGTCAGGAGTTCAAGACCAGCTTGACCAACATGATGAAACCCCATCTCTACTAAAAATACAAAATTAGCTGGGCGTGGTGGTGCATGCCTGTAATCCCAGCTACTTGGCTGACGCAGAAGAATTGCTTGAACCCAGGAGATGGAGGCCACAGTGAGCTGAGACTGCACTATTGCACTCCAGCCTGGGCGACAAGAATGGAACTCTAGCTCAAAAAAAAAAAAAGCAACAACAATAACACAAAACCCTTCACTTTATTCTTCAAACATGTATGTCCCAGTTCCCACCATTTCAGAGCCATAAACATCAAGCCCAGAGATGAGATCCTTAAAAACAATACCCAGGACAGATCTTCGTGTGTCTATATACATACCATATGTAGCATTATGTTATACAGTGTTACCTAAGTTACATGAAATTTTGCGTAAGATTTGTAAGCAAGTCACTTAAACTTTATGAACAAAAAGATGGGCCTGGCATGTTGGCTCATGCCCATAATCCCAGGCACGCTTTCAGAGGCGGGAGGATTGGTGTCTGGGCCATCACATGTTACTGTCATTCCTCACTTGTCTAAACAGGAATAGGGCTGAGTGGAACTAAGCAAGACCTGCATCCCATCAAAAAGCTCCTGATGATTTTTTATCTGCCCACTGTATTTCTCTGAAAGCTTTGGGGGATTTTCCAGAGGAGGAAGCCTGCTGTGGAGTTAACAACAGTGCAGGCTTAGTAACCAGCAAGCCCTGAGTCCACCCCAGCTCAGGTGTTACCTCACTTCTCTCACTGGGTTTACCTCTCTGTGAAATGGGATGAAAGCCGCCTTTTCACAGGTTTGAATAAAGGAATTGTGGAGAGAAAGCCCAGCAAAGCAGATGACCTTGCTAAAGGTCAGGGCCACTACTCAGGGAAATAAAGCTCTAGGGAGCTCCCCTTTTCAGGAGGGCAGGCTCCCAAGATCTCCCTCCTAAATGAAGTGGCCGCTGTTCACTTCATGGAAAACGAATCTTGTTACCACATCCACCATGCATGGCTAGAGAGCAGAGAGCAGGAGCATTACCGCTGAGCATTCCACTCTGTCAGATCAGCGGGGCATTAGATTCTCACAGGAGCGTGAACCCTCTTGTGCACGCACTTCGCAGACATCTAGGTTGCCTGCTCCTAATAAGAATTTAATGCCTGCAGATGTGAAGTAAAACAGTTTCGTACCAAAACCATCCCACCCCCACGAAACCGGTTCCTGGTGCCAAAAAGGCTAGGGACCGCTGGTCTAGAAGACTACAACCAGCTCTGTTGTAGCGGTCGCCAAGAGTAACCGTGTGGCAAGGGTGTGTCCAGCTTCCTCCTTGCATCTTGAAGCAAACCACCTTTGCAGTATGTGCGCGGGCTGTTAAGGGTGGGAGTTCTAAAGCCAGACTGCCGGTATCCAGAGACTGGCTTTGCTAAGGGACCTTGGACAAGTTACTTAACCTCATCTGTAAAATGGAGAAAATCCCTGTGCTTTTTAGGGTTGTCAACCTAATAAGCATTATTACTGCCCCAGATACGTCTAGGCTGTGTGGGAAAACGCGAATTTCTCCTTCAGCAAAGAGTAAAGCTAGTAAGAGTTTTCCTGGCCCTGCAGGTTTGGCCTGGCAGGAGACATGCTCCAGAGGCAGGCCCGGAGGCACTAGAGTGAGGTCGACAGGGCAGCGGATCTGAAGCCATGTATCTGGGATCCAGACATGCTGTGTGACGCCGAGCAAGCTGCTCCCGCAGATAAATTCAGCATTAACAGCCTAATACTGGAGGTGCCGACGCCGGGTAGATCACTACACCCAGCCCCGATCCACCGTTAGCTCTCCAGATTGCGGAAGCGCAAAGGATGCGCAGACGGCCCCGGCGTTCTGGGGGCGGGACCCGGGGAAGGCGCAGAGTATCGCTCTTGCGAGTCCAGTTACAAATGACGTCCCTTCTTTCCCCGCCCTGTAGGCGGGAGCATCCAATCAACGTCGAGAGCATAGGCCCCGCCCCTCCCCACCACCTATCATGGGTCCCCGCGCCGGATGTATTGTGTCTGAAGCTGCTGATTGGCTCCAGTGGGGAAGCTTGGTGGTCCGTGGTTCCGGAGCTTCCTCGGGATGTCGGTGGCCTTCGTACCCGACTGGCTGAGGGGCAAGGCAGAAGTCAATCAAGAGACTATCCAGCGGGTGAGCATCGACGCGGGCGTTGGGAAGGAGTTGGGAGTCCGAGGGGCTGCGGGGTGCGAGAAGCATCCCGTAGTGAGCGGCCTCAGCTGAGACTTGCAGTGTGTGAAGGGTGCTGACCAACCGGGGTGCGAGTGAGATGGGCACGACATCAGCACGGCGCCGGGGCAGGACAGCCCGGCATGGGGTCGGTCCCCCGCGGTCCTGACGTCTCACTGCCCTTCTTTCGCTGGCCTTTCAGCTCCTTGAGGAGAATGACCAGCTGATCCGCTGTATTGTGGAGTATCAGAACAAGGGCCGGGCGAACGAGTGCGTCCAGTAAGTGTCCCCACCTCGGTGCCCCGACCTGTGGGGGAGGGGAAGCCTGTGTGATGCGGCGCTGTCTCGAACTAGGAGCCTTGGGGGGTTGATCGCAGTTATGCGCCTCTCTCGCTTGAGGAAAGAGAGGCTCAAAGAGTTTGCTAACCTGCCCAGGGCCACACAACGAGTACACTGTGGAGCCTGGAGTCAGACGTGGCTCCTTCTTCAAAAAGAATTATTCTCACTGCAAAGCCTCGTTCACTCAGAGCTGTGCCAGCTGATGACAACAGGGATGGGGCTGGGAGCACACAGAAAACTAGGCAGGAGATCAGAGCCGTGGCCCCTTTCTCATCTTACATCCCTGCCTCATCCTTTTTTTGTTAAGTGAGGGGGTCAGACCATTTGCTAAGCTCCCTCACATTTCTAACTTCCTGTCAGTCTGTTAGTGACACACACAAAGACAAAGAATTTCCAAGTTAAGCCAAAGGTATATTCTGCATAATAATTCAGTGCACTCCATAAGCAGATACCAACATGAAAGAAAATGGAGTCTCGGTTTCTTTTCCAAATAGATCTAGTCCAGGAATTATGCCCATTTCTTTCTTTCCTTTTTGTGGCAGCATCCCCTTCTGTTGCCCAGGCTGGAGTGATCTCGGCTCAAAGCAACGTCTGTCTCCCGGCTTCAAGCAATTCTCGTGCCTCAGCCTCCCGAGTAGCTGGGACTACAGGTGCCCGCCACCACGCCCAGCTAATGTTTGTGTTTTTAGTAGAGACCCGGTTTCGCCATGTTGGCCAGACTGGTCTCAAACTCCTGACCTCAGATGATCCTCCCGCCTCGGCCTCCCAAAGTGCTGGGATTACAGGCGTGAGCCACCATGCCCAGCCTTATGTCCATTTCTTATAGAAAAATATATTATTTCATTGTTACTAAAGAAACATTGCACAATCCCTACCCCCTAGAAAAATTACCTACAGTCCCTCACTGAACAGCTCAATAGAACAGTAGAGATATTGATTTTTGGGTAAATCTTTACATCTGACTCTTGCATTTGGTAATTTGATTTTTAAAGGTTTACAGTAAACACCTTCTCCTTTTTCTTTATGAAAAATGGTTGCAAATGTTTCATTTGGTACAGTCGTTCCCAACCCAAGGGTAAAAAAGTTGTCAAAATCTCGTAGTGGGGTTTTTCACATTGCACAGACCATGCTTTCTGACCTTTATCTGATTTATCTTTCTGGGTGAAGAACTCTATGCCCTGTAAGCTTACGTTGATCATGAAAATGTTTTGTCCCTTCTTGAAGTTGTCAAACAGACATTTTATAAGTACAGTTGGCCCTCTACATCCATGGGTTCTGCATTGCATTTCAAAAATACTGGGGAACACAAAACAATAAAAAATAGCACTACAACAATAAAACACAACACAGTATAACATTATTTATATGGCATTTAAATTGTATTAGGTATTATAAGTAATCTAGAGATTTTTTAAAGTGTACGAGCCAGGTGTGGTGGCTCATGCCTGTAATCCTATGCCTTTGGGTGGTTGAGGTGGGCAGATCATCTGAGGCCAGGAGTTCGAGACCAGCCTGGCCAACATGGCCAAACCCCGTCTCTACTAAAAATACAAACATTAGCTAGGTGTGGTGGCATGTGCCTGTAATCCCAGCTACTCGGGAGGCCAATGCAGGAGAACTGCTTTAACCTCGGAGGCGGAGGTTGCCATGAGCCAAGATGATACCACCACACTCTAGCCTGGGAGACAGAACAAGAGTCCCTCTCAATCAATCAATCAATATAAAAATGAAGTATATGATAAGCGAGATGTGTGTAGGTTATATACAAATACTATGCCATTTTACATAAGGGACTTGAGCCTGAGCATCCTTGGATTTCAGTATCTGAGGGGAGTAGGGCGGTGTCCTGGAGCCGATTCCCTGTGGATACCAAGGGACAGCCATACTCCTGGTGCCAGGCACTGTTTCAGACACTGGGAAATCAATAGTAAAACAGATACCAGCTCTGCACTCACGGAGCTGACATTCTAGACTCTAGAATCTATAAGGAAATGTATAATTAGGCACATAATAATAGGTGCTTTGAATAAGGATAAAGCAGAGTAAGCTGGGGGGAGGAGTGCTATTTTATGATAAGTCTCATAAGGTGCTATTTGCATGGAGAGCTGAGGTAAGGGAGCCAGCTATGCAGTAGTAAGGCATAGTGAGATAAGTAAGGCAGAGAAAGCATCAGAAGGAAAAGCTCCATAGTAGGAGCATGCTGGATAATTTCAAGTCACAGCAAGGAGGCCACTGTGGCCAGTATTAAGTGAACAAAGGTGTAGCCATAAGAGAGGAGATCAGAGGGGAACTGGAGGCCCCAGTCATGTAGGGCCTTGTTAGGACACAAGAACGGCTCACCTTTACTCTGAATCAGATGGGAGCCTCTGGAAGGTTTTAAATAGAGATATAACATGATCTTGATTTAAATTGTACAACGCTCTTAGGCTGTTGTGTGGAGAATAAAGTAGGTGTGTGAAGGTAGATCAGGGAGACTAGGTGGCTACTGCAATTGTCCAAGCCAGAAATGAGGGTGGCTTGGCTTAGAGAGATAGCTGTGAAAGTGATCACTGAATGGTGAGAATAGGTGAGAATATGACTATATTTTCCTTAAATATGTTGAACCAGAAGGTTGACAACATGGGCTCAGTCGATCAGTGGACGAGCCATCCCACTAGAGTGGGTAAATTATTTTCCAGTTTTTTGTTCATAGTCAGTAAAAACAAGCTTCTGATTTTTGCCTGTTTTTTGCCCATAGGTACCAGCATGTGTTACACAGAAATCTCATTTATTTGGCTACCATCGCAGATGCCAGCCCAACCAGTACTTCAAAAGCAATGGAATAATCTTCCAGTTGGCTGTCGTGAGGAGCAATTAAGTATAATCCATCTCTTACAAAATAGAGACAGGATCTTTACCAACTTACCTGGTTAAAACATGAATGAAACCTCTGTGGCTCTTTCAAAAAATGTAAAAATGTGAAGAAAGCTACTAACTTGACTTTTCTCAATGTAAACTTTTTTTTCTTTTCATGATGAGCTTACCGTTCAATTTTTTTTTTTTTTTTTAATAATTAAGCGAATCCCTCAATAAGTTGAGCCCAGGTGTCCTGTTTCCTGAACCTGGAGCAAGTTTGGATAACAAAGACATCACTGGGATGTCTGAGTCTGCTTTTTACTTTCAACCTGAAGAGAAAAGTGAGTAGGGATTGGTCAGGAATTGGTGAGACTCCTGACTTGAGACCTTGCTAAATGGACATGTAACTGTGTGCTCCTTCCTACCAGTCTGTAAATGTGGTACCCCGACTGCTGTTTTCAGATTGCTTTGAAAATAAAGCTTACTTTTCTATAGAATACTGATACGGAGGTAGAGAAGTTTTCATACAGTAAGTATTCCGTTTGGTTTTCCAGAAGAGCTGTGAGGACTTAACTGTAAGGTGTGTAACAACAGCACTTGATCCCTGCCAACAAAACGAACAGCGATTCCTGATCATAACCTAACGCCATCTGATAATAGACGGTGCTTAATTTCCTTCGGTTACCAGATTATGTCTTTTCGTTGGTTTGTCTGAAACAGAATCCAAACAAAATTCACACATTGTATTTTGTGGATGTCCCTTTATGTCACTTAAGGAAGCCGGTAAGTACCTGCTTTTGCATCACGTCAGGAGTGACCTGATATTTTGTCAAGTTCCCAACAGCCTTTCACTTAAATTATGATCCACCCAGCTTTGGTCGGGTAATTCATTAGGGATTGCACAATGAGGGTTTTCCAGTGCATTGTTCTTTCTGACCTTATTGGCTGTTTTCTACTGAAAACTTACACTCTTGGAGATTTATCTGAAATATGAGGCAAAGAGATTCTTGTAAGTATATCCAAAATTGGAAGCCCAGGTCCCTGCTCCTTTTTTTGGAGTCAAGGGTTAGAACTAGGGTAACTGTAAAATATGTGTAAATAGTGAAGAGGTAACTCTTTTTGAATCCCAGCTCTATCCCTTAACCTCTGAAAGCTCTGTTTCCTCACCTGTAAAGTGAGGATAATAAAAATGGCATTTGTCTCCTGAGGTTGTGGGGTTGGGGTAATGTGGTTGAGAACTGGGCACATGTTTATCTATGTTAGTGCTGACGTGTCATCCGAGGTGAGGGCTCTGGCTCTTTTTTTTGAGACTGAATCTCGCTCTGTAGCCCAGGCTGGAGTGCAGTGGGGTCATCTCGGCTCACTGCAACCTCCACCTCCCAGGTTCAAGTGATTCTCCTGCCTCAGCCTGCCCAGTAGCTGGGACCACAGGCACGTGCCACCATACCTGGCTAATTTTTGTATTTTTAGTAGAGATGGGGTTTCATCATGTTGGTCAGGCTGGTCTCGAACGTCTGACCTCGTGATCCACCCACCTGGACCTCCCAAAGTGCTGGGATTACAGGCGTGAGGCCGCGCCCAGCCGGGAGCTTGTTTCTTTACTCCCTCACCCAGTCTGCTACCCCACAGCTTTAGCCCGTTTGTCCTCTTCCTCCTCCACTGTTTGTGGAATCGATACCATATTCTACACCAGCTGACACAAGTGGGCTGCTCATGGGCCTGATCTGCTCAGCAGATGTGTTGGGGCTGGGCAGTGTTTTAAATTTTGATTTAGTTGATAACTAAAAATAAGAGGGGCTGGGCATGGTGGCTCATGCCTGCAATCCCAACACTGTGGGAAGCCGAGGTGAGAGGATCACTTGAACCCAGGAATTGAGATCAGCCTGGGCAACATAGGGAGACTCCATCTCTAGAAAAATAATAATTTCTTTTGAAAAAGAGGATTTCCTATTAAAGTCTGGATTTCTAGTAATGCCGGACTTGCAGATCTGCAGGGTAGCATCAGTGGGGGTGGGACAGCCGCTGTCCCCTTTATGGGGCAGCTGGCATTGTTTACCTAGAGCTGGGTCAGCGGGGGTGGGACAGCAGCTTCCCCTTTATGGGGCAGCTGGCGTTGTTTACCTAGAGCTGGGCACACATAGACACTTGGATGAGGCCATCAGACTGCCTCTGGCTAGCACCTGAGCAGGGGTCATGTTTCAGTTTGGGTTTTTTCTAAAGCAGAGCCTGAGACAAGGCCTTGGGGGCAGGTAGTTTGTCTGGGAGATGATTTCAGGAAGCAGGAGTAAGGCAGGAGGGAGAGCAAGACAGGGAGGAAAAGCTACTAAAGAGAGTGTTACTGAGTCACTCCATTAAGCAACAGAGGCTCAGCTCTGTGGGATCCTCCGAGAAGCATTGAGAACGTTCCAGAACTGTCTACCTGAGAGACACTGGTTGGGAGCTAGCTCCCCTGCATAGCAAGCAGTGTCTGTAGCCGTGTGGGTTCCTAGATGGCAGAGAAGACAAGAAAGCGGAAGGGTGCCAAGGCAGACCCCCAGGTTGGCTGCTGCCCGCACAAGGTGATGTGACCTTGTAGGAAGCGTTCCTACTGGCTGCAGCACATATCGGAGGCAGGCAGGGCAGGACAGTGGGGCGCTCTCTGACAGCACCAGAGGCTCCTCTGCTGGGGAGTGGGCTCTGAGCTAGCCAGTGGGGCCTGGCAGCTAAGAGCAGCTTCCTGTGTGGGAGGGGAAGCAGCCTTGAAGACAAAGCCCAGCTCCGCTCCAGTGGAAAGGGGGACTGTGACCTGCTGTGTCCCTCCCTTTGCCTTTTGTAATGAGGTTTGAGTCTGCAGGCAGAGGACTGAATCGGCAAATCAGAAGCCTCTGAGGACAGCAAAGCGGCTTGAGCCACAGCCTGCCCTTCACTCCAGAAGGCCGCTCCCTGGGGACATCTTGGCAAAGCTGGTGCGGACCAGCTAGCCACCTGCATTCCAGCCCATCTCCAGCTGTGTGCTTCAGAGACAGCCTGAAGCTCAAGCATTTGCCTCACTCTTGAAGGACCCAGGAATCAATAGCATCTAAAAAAGAAGAAATTAAACAAACACCGAACACAAATAGAGTCTGTGACCAGACTCTGTCAACCACTCCCTACTCAGAGGACCTCCTGCTTCAAGAGTTAAGCCTCTACTCAACCTTCTGAGCCCATCTGTAACCTGTGGGGTCAAAGTGATCTCCCAACAGCCCACACAGGGTCTGAGCCTGTTCTCGGGTTTCCAAGCCTATCTCTTAGGAGTTGCAAGAGTGGTGACTTCCTCCATTATCACTCTCGTGGGGTAAGGATACAGCAGCTACAACAAAGAGATGAGATAATTTGAGATCAGGTGTGTTCCACAAAATGTTAAGCCATTTTTCCACTTCCTCATGAGGCCTCTTGACATCTCAGTTTAACCTCTGGGGACTCCTAGTAACGATGTGGCTAGCAAGGAAACGATGCTCGGTGCGACCTCCTGTACCCTTGAACCTTTACAATACACCTCCATTACTGAAGATCATCTGAGTTTATTTCTTTTCTTATCTTTTCTTTGTTTTTTTGAGCAGTAGTCTTGCTCTGTCTCCAGGATGGAGTGCAACGATGTACTCTTGGCTCACTGCAACCTCCACCTCCCAGATTCGAGTGATTCTCCTATCTTAGCCTCCTAAGCATCTGGGACTACAGGCGTATGCCACCACGCCTGGCTAATTTTTGTATTTTTGTAGAGACGGTTTCACCATGTTGGCCAGGCTGGTCTCAAACTCCTGACCTCAGGTGATCAGCCTTCCTTGGTCTCCCAAAGTGCTGGGATTACAGGTGTGAGCCACCATGCCTGGCCGGCCAGGGTATATTTCTTAAGCTGGGTACTTATTCCATTTGAATAAAGTAATTTTAAGAAGTTTATTAATCTGTCATCTGTGTTCCCAGTGGAAGTCCCACAGATTCGACTGGAATCTGGATATTCTCTTAAGTCACTAGGACCTTCTCCTTCCTTCTTAAATCCAAGGGGAGGTGGTTTTCCTTTCTGTTTGTGTGTAGGTAATTCAACAGCCACTTACTGATTGAGTACTATGTGCAGAGAACACCGCATTGAGGAAGCTGGACAATGCCCCTCGTTGGGAGGGACACAGAGAGTAAAGTGTAAATAAGGACAGCTTCACGTAGTAGTAAGTGCTTAGCAGAGCCAAACACGGTGGCCCATGCCTGCAGTGCCACCACTTTGGGAGGCTGAGCTGTATGGATTGCTTGACCCAGCAGTTTGAGACCAGCCTGTGCTAACCAGAGAGACTATCTCTACAAAGAATTTTAAAAAAAGAATTAGCAGCCGGGCGTGGTGGCTCACGCCTATGATTCCAGCACTTTGGGAGGCTGAAGCAGGTGGATCACAAGGTCCTGAGGTCGAGACTATCCTAGCTAACATGGTGAAACCCCATCTCTACTAAAAATACATAAAATTTTTGGGATAAGTCACCATGCCCAGTCAAAAAATAGTTTTTTTGAAACAGAAGTGCTTTAAAGAGAATTGTAGGGCCGGGCGCGGTGGCTCAAGCCTGTAATCCCAGCACTTTGGGAGGCCGAGGCAGGTGGATCACGAGGTCAACAGATCGAGACCATCCTGGTTAACATGGTGAAACCCCGTCTCTACTAAAAATACAAAAAAATTAGCTGGGCACGGTGGCACGTGCCTGTAATCCCAGCTACTCAGGAGGCTGAGGCAGGAGAATTGCCTGAACCCAGGAGGCGGAGGTTGCGGTGAGCCGAGATCGCACCATTGCACTCCAGCCTGGGTAACAAGAGCGAAACTCCGTCTCAAAAAAAAAAAAGAGAATTGTAACAGGATGACATGCTGAGGAGCGTCTGTGTGACACTTTAGATTACAGAGTAAGCGATGGCCTGAGGAGGGAACACTGCAGCTGAGATAGGAACGACCATCAGGGGACCCAGCCATGCAGGCAAAGGCAAGAGCTAAGCAAATATCCTTCATTCCAACTGTTTTTTAATCTCTTGAGTCCATTTATAGAGCAATGTTCACCTATGTGATCATCAATTCAATTATAACATGAGTCCTCATTTGACCAGGCCTGAGCTTGGCTCTACAGTGAGGAAAATGAGGAGGGAGGGCACGGGGCCCTACTTTCAGGGAGCTCCTAAGCCCAGCAAGATAAAAAAAAGACTCACACCCTGGCACAGACCAGGGCACCATGGAAGCCCAAGAAATGCCTGAACTATCACCCAGACATGGAGGCTGCAGGGATTCCACATAGAAATTATCAAGAGCTTCTTGTAGGTCAGAAAACGTCTACGTTTCTCCGTTCCTGAGCACTCCCTTGTTTGCAAACAAAAAATGACTTGCCAGTTGTGGAAGAAGCTATCAGCATTCTACTCTCATTTCTTGAACTTTAACTTAATTGAAGTTCATTCCTCTAACTGTGCTCCAGCTGACTCCCAGCTGTCCATATTGTATCTCTATTCCCGAGGACATTTTTCTAAAACTGGAAGTCTGCTTTGCCCAGGCATAGCAGGCCAGAAGAACCTAAGGATGATCACCCCCGGGAGCAACTCCCAAGCAGGGACTCTCAAGAGACATCCTCAGGTGGGATCATCCTGAGACGTATCTTCTGTAGGTGTTCCCAGAGTTCTCCAGCAGGATACAGCTCCAGTCAGCAGCTGCGGTAGCTGGTTAATATCACAGCTTGCACTGGTTACCACCCCTTTCCCCGCCTCACTCCCTGAATGTAGTTTCTTGAGATCACTACCTGTCTTAGTCCCTTTGCGCTGCTATAATAAAATACGGTAAGCCAAGTGGCTTATAAACAACAGAACTTTATTTCTCACAGCTCTGAAGGTTGGGGAAGTCCACGATCAGGGCCCCAGAAAATTTGGTGTCCTTGACAGACAATTTCCTGGCTGACAGCCAGTCATCTTTTCATTGTAACCTCATGTGGCAGAGACGGTGAGGGAACTCTTCTAGGTGTCTTATTTGTTGTTTTTGAGACAGAGCCTCCCTCTGTCGCCCAGGCTGGAGCACAGTGGTGTGATCCTAGCTCACTGTAACCTCAAACTCCTGGGCTGAAATGATCCTCCCCTCTTAGCCTCCCAGGTAGCTGGGACTACAGGCATATGCCACCATACCTGGCTAATTTTTTAATTTTTTTGTAGACATGAGGTCTCACTTTGCTGCCCAGGCTGGTCTTGAACTCCTGGCTTCAAGTGATCCTCGATCTTTGGCCCCCCAAAGTGCTGGGTTAAAGATGTGAACTGCCAGGCTTAGCCCCTGGGTCTTTTTTATAAGGGCACTAATCTCATTCAGATGGACTGGCTCAGCCAATATGGCTTCCATCAGCATCATGGCATTTGAAAAATGTTTACCCAAACCCAATCTGCTTGGCAAAGGCTATCTCCAGAAAAAGTATAAGAGCCAAGGATTCAAAGCAGAATTTAAGGGATGAAATCAGTAAACAAGTAGGGTCAGCATGAGATGAGTAAGGAGCCTCATTGACAGGAAGTGTTTGTTGCAGTGGTTTTTTTCATATGAATTAGATGAGATCCAAGCTCTCTCATAGAGAGGATGTCGCGGGAAACATTTGTGAAAATACAGCCATGTTTTAAAACAAGTTAGTAGCAGAGGGCCGCTAACCTAAAAGGCCAAAAGATGGGTCTAGTATTATTCACAGTTGAGGTGGCTTCTTCCCACCCCGCCTCCCACCCCCCACCCGCCGCCTGAAACGGAGTTTCGCTCTTGTTGCCCAGGCTGGAGTGCAATGGCACATTCTCGGCTCACCGCAACCTTCGCCTCCTGGGTTCAAAAGATTCTCCTGTGTCAGCCTCCCAAGTAGCTGGGACTACAGGCACGCGCCACCATGCCCGGCTAATTTTTTTTGTATTTAGTAGAGACAGGGTTTCACCGTGTTGACCAGGATGGTGTCGATCTCTTAACCTCGTGATCCACCTGCCTTGGCCTCCCAAAGTGCTGGGATTACAGGCATGAGCCACCGCACCTGGACGAGGTGGCTTCTTAAATTACCGCCACTGCCTCCGTAGCCATTTCTGTACTGCTACACTTCCATGCCACCACACCTCCATGCCTTTCCCCTGGTTACTGGCTCTACCCCAAGCTGATCAATCGTAATATCTACCCATTGCCATGGCCACTGAGGCTGATCTATCCAGGCACGTGAACCTTATCAAGCCAATCAGAATCTTTCCCCAGAATTTTTCTCACTGGTTCTGGCAGGAAAAACACTTTCTCTTCAGACTGCCAGGCCATAAAAGTGCATGATTAGCTGTAATCCCAGCACTTTGGGAGGCCGAGGCGGGTGGATCACGAGGTCAAGAGATCAAGACCATCCTGGTCCACATGGTGAAACCCCGTCTCTACTAAAAATACAAAAAATTAGCTGGGCATGGTGGCGCGTGCCTGAAATCCCAGCTACTCGGGAGGCTGAGGCAGGAGAATTGCCTGAACCCAGGAGGCGGGGGTGCGGTGAGCCGAGATGGCGCCATTGCACTCCAGCCTGGGTAACAAGAGCGAAACTCCGTCTCAAGAAAAAGAAAAAAAAAAAAAAAGTGCATGACCGGAAGCTGCTATGGCCATATCCCATTGCTCCCTACAGAGAAAGTCCACCTGATCTTGAGTAATACCACGAGGATATCATTTTGTTAAAATATAAATTTTGTGTCTTGGGTTAACTGTGGGGTGAGAAACCTCCTCCTCACATGCAATCCCAGCTATCTGCATACAGCCTGGTGTTGTGGTCTAGCTGTTGACGAGCGGCAGAGGTGGGTAAATTTTTCTGTACCTCGTGAAATATTATACTCCTTATTTTCCACAAAAAAGAAATCTAGGATTTCAAAAAATATATTCAAATTGTGTGTGTGTGTGTATTTTTTTCAACCAAATTCTGATAACTGTCTCTGTGTTGTGGGTGCCCAAGGTCACCCTCAGGTTTGATGGTTCACTGGGAGACTCACATAACTCAGTATATGATTTACTACAAGAAGAAGATGTAAAGTAAAACCAGCAAGGAAAAGGCACATGGGATACAGCCCAGAGGGAATCAGATGCTTCAAGGAGTCCTCTCCCAGCAGGACATGGCTCACTGACAAATTGTGACAACACGTGTCAAATGTCTACCAGGGAAGTTCATTAGAGACTTAGTACCAAGGTTTTACTAGTGGCTGGTCACATCTGCTGCTTAGCACAAACCAAAATTCTGGACTCATAGAATGTAGGTGTTCGGCATAAATCATATTGTTTGTACAAATAGTTTAGGCATAGGGAGCCACTCGTATAAATTAGAGAAAGTTATGTGCATGTAGGGAATTATTTTCCATTCAAGTTCCTTGATTCCAGTCAAGGGCCAACCTGTAATCAGACCTCTCTAAAGATATCAGTCTTGGGCTAAGCATATTAATAGGTCTTTTCTACATAATTTCCTATTTAAGATCTAGGATATTTTTTAATTTTTAAAATGGCACAAACAAATAAAGTAGTATTATATATGTATCTTCTCATTGTACTCCTTTTCTCTTCCTGCATTCATCTCTTTTCTTCCTCCCGCAAGTTGTAAAAATGTAAAAGTTATTTGAAAGGTAGGGTTGGAACAGGGATCCCTGCTTGAGGCTGAATTGTGTATTGCAGAGGATATATTGAAGGGTGCACTGGGAACTGAGAGGCAATATGCTGGCAACTGATATACCCTACCTATATCGGGATAATCATAAACATTTTCTTAATATGCTGATCTATGTATTATAGGAATAAATGTTCTGCCATTGAACCATCTTTGCATTCCTGAGTTAAAGCCAATTAGGTCATGAACATTTTGCAGTTTAAACACTGCTAAACTCCATTTTCTAATATTTTATTTGAATTTTAAATCCATGTATATAATGAGATTGGTCTCTTTCCTTTTTTGTAATAACAGTGTGTTTAGAACTATATCTTTATTAGACAAAGTCATAAGCCAAAAGTTTCCAACTTCCTGTACATGTTGAGAACTTTAAATAAAGAACATTGGATATAAAATATGGCCCACATGGCTCAAAATTAACTCTGTGACATAATATTATTCTAAAGTCATACTTATTTTGAAAGCCTAAAGATTTTTTAATGGCAATAAAAATACCACCAAGCTAGACATTTTAATTGTTGAGATATACAAATAAAATTACTACAGCAGCCTACACATTCCATGATTTCTAAACACTAAAACATCATTGGTTTGGGGGAAGATGCTCTTGTCCTTCACAGTTCATTAAAAGTTCAGATGCTTTTTGTGAAAGCCCAGCTTTTCTTCTACCTGCTAAACCATCTTTTCAGAAGTCTTGCCGGAAGTTTTCTTTGTTTGCCTCTCCATGTTGCTGCTTAATTGGATAGATTTAATTTTCTAGCTGAACAATCATTTATTCAATCTCATAATCTTACTGACCAGGGATACCCAATTTGACTCCATTTCTCTCAATTTAGATCCAGCTGTGAGTTGCATGTTCTTTCTCTGCCAGTTTAAATCTTGAGTATATTTTCTTTTTTTTTTTAATTGCATTTTAGGTTTTGGGGTACATGTGCCGAACATGCAAGATAGTTGCATAGGTACACACATGGCAGTGTGTTTTGCTGCCTTCCTCCCCTTCACCCATATTTGGCATTTCTCCCCAGGCTATCCCTCCCCAGCTCCCCCGCCCCGCTGTCCCTCCCCTATTCCCAATAGACCCCAGTGTGTAGTACTCCCTTCCCTGTGTCCATGTGTTCTCATTGTTCATCACCCGCCTATGAGTGAGAATATGTGGTATTTCATTTTCTGTTCTTATGTCAGTTTGCTGAGAATGATGTTCTCCAGGTTCATCCATATCCCTGCAAAGGACACGAACTCATCATTTTTGATTGCTGCATAATATTCCATGGTGTATATGTGCCACATTTTCCCTGTCTACTCTATCATCGATGGGCATTTGGGTTGGTTCCAGGTCTTTACTATTGTAAACAGTGCTGCAATGAACATTCATGTGCATGTGTCCTTATAGTAGAACGATTTATAGTCCTTTGGAAATATACGCAGTAATGGGATTGCTGGGTCAAATGGAATTTCTATTTCTAAGGCCTTGAGGAATTGCCACACTGTCTTCCACAATGGTTGAACTAATTTACACTCCCACCAGCAGCGTAAAAGTGTTCCTATTTCTCCACATCCTCTCCAGCATCTGTTGTCTCCAGATTTTTTAATGATAGCCATCCTAACTGGTGTGAGATGGTATCTCAATATGGTTTTGATTTGCATTTCTCTAATGACCAGTGATGATGAGCATTTTTTCATATGTTTGTTGGCCTCATGTATGTCTTCTTTTGTAAAGTGTCTGTTCATATCCTTTGCCCATTTTTGGATGGGCTTGTTTGTTTTTTTTTCCTGTAAATTTGTTTGAGTTCTTTGTAAATTCTGGATATCAGCCCTTTGTCAGATGGGTAAACTGCAAAATTTTTTTCCCATTCTGTTGGTTGCCGATTCATGCTAGTGACTGTTTCTTTCGCCGTGCAGAAGCTGTGGAGTTTGATTAGGTCCCATTTGTCTATTTTGGCTTTTGTTGCCAATGCTTTTGGTGTTTTGGTCATGAAGTCCTTGCCTACTCCTATGTCCTGAATGGTTTTGCCTAGATTTTCTTCTAGGGTTTTTATGTTTTCTTAACTTCTGAAGTTTGTTCTGTAGTTGTTCAATTACATGAACTGAATTTTCATTGCACACTTTCCAGGCATTACTTCTTGGAATAATGTCACATTAATCTGTGTCATTAGTTCTAGATTCTCAATTCTAACTGCTTGATGCTCTAACTGGGCCATAAAATTGTTTACACATTCTTACCATGCAGTAATGTCATTTTTTTTTTAACCAGAGGAAGGGGCTGTAAGCTCATATCGTTTCATACTGAGCAATTCAACTGATTGTCAAGCAGCCAGTCTTTCAAATTCATTTCTCATTATGTCAGTTTCAAAGGAAGAATAATCCCAGCTGTCAGGTAGCTCAGGTAGTTCTTAGCAGGTCAGTATCTGCAAGTTTCCTCCTCCGCCAGTGCTGCAGCCACTTCCTGCACACCAGTGGCTTCATAACCTTCATCAAAATAAGGCAGCACATCCAGCACAAGCTCTGCAGCCACCGAACCCACGACTGCCATTCTGGGACCTCAGGTTTGCCCGTGTTTTCTGCATCTGTGTAAACTCGATTCTCTGGCCTCTAACTTTCTTGTACTGTCTTGATATTCACAAAGTAGGTTAGATAACCTCTGCTTTTTAGTTTTCCAAAACATTTGAGAAAGGGATTATTGTTCCTTTAGGGTCTGAAAAATTTGCCTACAAAACAATCTGGGGCCGGGCACGGTGGCTCACGCCTATAATCCCAGCACTTTGGGAGGCCGAGGCAGGTGGATCACGAGGTCAAGAGATCGAGACCATCCTGGTCAACATGGTGAAACCCCGTCTCTACTAAAAATACAAAAATTAGCTGGGCATGGTGGCACACACCTGTAGTCCCAGCTACTCGGGAGGCTGAGGCAGGAGAATTGCTTGAACCCAGGAGGCGGAGGTTGCGGTGAGCCGAGATTGAGCCATTGCACTCCAGCCTGGGTAAGAAGAGCGAAACTACATCTCAAAAAAAAAAAAAAAAATCTGGAATCTGTGTCTTGTGGAAAGGAAGACCATGTTTGTTCTCAATAGTTTCATTATGAAAAATGTCAAAGATATATAAAAGTAGAGAACATAGCTCAATAAATCCCATCTATCATTTAGAGGCAACAATTAACAAGATTTTTGCCCATTTCACTCAATATCCATTTTAAAATTTATTTTCTGGCTAAGCGTGGTGGCTCAGGCCTGTAATCCCAGCATTTTGGGAGGCCAAGGCAGGAAGATGTCTTGAACCCAGGAGTTTGAGATCAGCCTCAGCAACATGGCAAGACGCCCATCTCCACAACACATTTAAGAATTTAGTGGGGCACGCTGGCTTGTGCTTGTGGTCCAAGCTACTGGGGAGGCTGAGGTGGGAGGATTACTTGAGCCCGGAAGGTCAAGCCTGTAGTGAGCCATGTTTGTGCCACTGCACTTCAGCCTAGCAGACAGAGGAAGACCCAGTCTCCAAAAAAAAAAAAAAAAAGAAAAAGAAAAAAGAAATGTATTTTCTTCATTTTTGTTTTACAGAGTATTTTAAAGCAAATCCCAGATGTCATGTGTTTTCATTCCTACTTACATCAGTATGCATCCTCTAAAAAGCTAAGGATGAGAAGACAAAGACATTTTTTCTTTTTTAGAGAGAGGGTCTAAATCTGTTATCCAGGCTGGTGTGCAATGGCACAATTACAGCTCACTGCGGGCTTCAGCTCTTGGCTTAAGCAATTCTCTCATTTCAGCCTCCCCAGAAGCTGAGACTACAGGTGTGTGTCACCATGCCCAGCTACTGTTTAAACTTTTTGTAGAGACAGGGCCTCGTGACATCGCCAGGGCTGGTCTCTAACTCCTGGGCTCAAGTGATCCTCTGCCTTGGCCTCCCAAATTGCTGGGATTACTGGTGTGAGCCACCACACCACATATTCTTACATAATCAAAATTTCATGATCACATCTAACAAAATTAAATATATTTCCTTGGTATCATGTAACATCTAGGCCATGATCAAGTTTCCCATTTGTCTCAAAATGTCTTCCACAGTTGTCTGGAGAGTCGGGATTACTAATTCAATGTCTTCCATGTTTATTGGTTTATTCAAGACTTCTATTTCTTTTGAGTCAATTTCGATCATTTCTATTTTCTAGAAAATTATTTTGTTTGTTTCCCCGCTAGGATTCCTGATTGTTCTCCAGAGTCCTATCCCCTAAGTTGGCGTAATCACACTCTAAAAGGCTAAATACCCAGAATCTTTGCCTGAAAATTCCTACTACCAATGGTTCTTCTTCATGGTAACTCATGGACAAATTAAGCCTGAGTCTGTAAACTCTTTGGATACCAACTTTCTACCACTCTCAGAAGACAGGGAGGAGGTGTCAGTCCTTTTGGCTGATACTAGGCCTAGGCCTGCCTTGTCCCAGTAGTTTCTTCACCTTAACCAAAGATCAAATCGCATACTTTATCTTCAAATCATCTAAAGTATAATTTCAAATCACAGGACAGAATAAAATAATCTTTGAGAGAGGGAGGACCTTAGAAAAGAGGTATGTTATCTCATTTATTTTACAGATGAAGAAAGTAAACTTCAGAGAGGTCAAAGTGATTTGTCTCAGGTCACATAACCAGTGGCGCAAAGAAGAGAATCACTGAAGTGTCAAGATAAGAACAACTTCCAGGAGGTCTAAAAAGTTCTTTAAGCACATCCCAAGTTAAGTATTTCATTCCTGAGCTCTAGAACCTGTTTATATTGAAGCCTGCTGCCCCAAACACAGTAATCACAGAGCGGGGCAATGCTCTCCATCTTTTCCTGTTTATATTGAAGACTGCTGCCCCAAACACAGTAATCACAGAGCAGGGCAATGCTCTCCATCTTTTCCTTTCATGAATCTATTATGAAAGTTAGCTTGATGAAACCACTTCGTCTCCAGAAAGACACGTACATTTCATACTGTTCAAATCTGTAACCGTCAGCAAAATCAGATCCAGGACCACCTGTTTCTCAATCCAGCCTAGAGACTGCTCCTCTAATAGACACACTGGACTCGCAGGGAGGTAGAATGGGCAAGCTCTGACAAAGGACAGCACTTCTCTGATGGTGTGGAAGTACCAAAGGTTTGACTGCACTTTAAAAAGGTGGTAACAGGTGGCCAGGCACGGTGGCTCATGCCTGTCATCCCAGCACTTTGGGAGGCTGACATGGGGAGATCACAAGGTCATGAGTTCAAGACTAGTGTGGCCAACAGGGTGAAACCCCATCTCTACTAAAACTACAGAAAAATCAGCCAGATGTGGTGACACACACCTGTAGTCCCAGCTACTCTGGAGGCTGAGGTAGGAGAATTGCTTGAATCCGGGAGGCAGAGGTTATAGTGAGCCAAGATTGTGCCACTGCACTGCAGCCTAGGCGACAGAGTGAGACTCCATCTCCCCTCCCAACCCCAAAGTGACATAGGTGCAGAAGAGAAGTTGGAAATGCTCTAAGTCAAGCTTGTTTTTTTTTTGTGTGATATTTTTAAAGCTCATTAGCTATCACTTGTGTAGGATATTTTATATGTGGCTGAAGACAAGTCTTCCAATGTGGTCCAGGGAAACCAAAAGATTGGACACCCAATCTAGGTGAGCCCGATTTCCAAATTTACTATAAAACTACAGTGTGCCACTTCACATCCATTAGGATGGCAATAAACAAAACCAGAAAATAACAAGTGTTGGTGAGGATGCAGGAAAGTTAGAACCCTTGTGTGTGGCTGATGGAAGTGTAAAATAGTGCAGCTATGGAAACAGTATGGTAGTTCCTGGAAAAATTGTAAATGGAATTAACTTATGATCCAGTGATTCCATTTCTGGGCATATACCCAAAATAATTGAAAGCAGGTTTCAAAGAGTATTTGTACACCCAAGTTCATAATAGCACTATTCATAACAGCCAAAAGGTAGAAGCAATCTAACTATCCACTAACATATGAGTGGATAGACAAAATATGATATATACATACAATGGAATATTATCCAGTCTTAAAAAAGGAAACTCTGGCATGCTACGACATGGATGAAATGGAAGCCATGCTAAGTGAAATCACCCAGTTACAAAAGAGCAACTTCTTTTTTTTGACATGGAGTTTGGCTCTTGTCGCTTAGGCTAGAATGCAGTGGTGCGATCTTGGCTCACTGCAATCTCCACCTCCCAGGTTCCAGTGATTCTCTTGCCTCAGCCTCCTGAGAAGCTGGCATTACAGGTGCCTGCCACCACGCCCAGCTAATTTTCCGTAGTCTTAGCAGAGATGGGGTTTCATCACGATGGCTACGTTGGTCTTGAACTCCTGACCTCAGGTGACACATGCGTCTCAGCCTCCCAAAGTGCAGGGATTACAGGCGTGAGCCACCGCGCCCCTCCTAAAATAACAAATATTGTATGAGTCTACTCATGTGAGTAGACACATTTACAGAGGCAGAAAGTCTAAGGGTGGTCTCCAGGAACTTGGAATTGGGGGAAATGGGGAGTTGCTGTTTGATGGATACAAAGTTTCAGTTCTACAAGACGAAAAATGTTGCGCAGGTGGATGGTGGTGAGGGTCGCACAACAATGTGAATATAGTTAATGCCAGTGAGCTGTACACTTAAAAACAGTTAAAATCATAACTTGCACAAAATGTACATTTTATAGTTAAAAAAACCTTAAAAAACAGTGTGGTACTGATACACAGATCATTGGGACAAAAATCCAGAAACAGACTCACACATATACGGTCACAAGACGAAGGCAATTCAACGGATGAGTTTTCGACAAATGGTAATGGAACGACTGTGTATTCTTATAGGAAAATGTGACACTTACCAACCAGACAACATAAGCAAAAATCAATGCTATTAGACAATAGGCTTACACTTAAAAGACTATATAAGACATGTATAGAACACAGAAGACCTTCACGAACTTGAGGTAGGCAGCGATTTCCTAGCACAGAAAAAGCGCAAACCATAAATGATAAAACTGACCAACTTGCCGGGCGCGGTAGCTCACGCCTGATCCCAGCACTTTGGGAGTCCGAGGCGGGCAGATCACCTTAGGTCGGGAGTTCAAGACCAGCCTAACCAACATGGGGAAACCCCGTCTTTCTAAATATAAAATTAGCCAGGTGTGGTGGCGCACGCCTGTAATCCCAGCTACTTGGGAGGCTGAGGCAGCAGAATTGCTTGAACCCAGGAGGCATTGGTTGCAGTGAGCCAAGACTGCGCCATTGCGCTCCAGCCTGGGCAACAAGAGCGAAACTCTGTCTCAAAACAACAACAACAACTGACCAACTGACTTCACCAGAATTAACAACTTCTTTTACCAAAAACATGGTCATAGCAATGAAAAGACATGGCCCAGATTGAAAGACTTCGCAATAATTTATGTAACAAAAGATTTGTATTCAGAACATACATGCATCTATCTAACAAAACATGTGCGTTCACAACCGTTAAACTCGAAAGACCGGCTTTAAAAATAGGCCGAAGACTGGAACTGAAACTTCACGAAAGATGCAGAATGGGGCCGGGCGCGGTGGCTCATGCCTGTAAACCCTAGCACTTTGGTAGGCCGAGGTGGGTGGATCACCTAAAGTCAGGAGTTCAAGACCAGCCTGGCCATCATGGTGAAACCCCATCCTAGAAAAAAAAAAACAAAAACGATGCAGAATGGCCAGTGACGGTGGCGCCAAAGGGGGAAGGAACGCATTCCTCAGCCTAAAAGGCCTAACAGTAGGACACGGCCGTAACCGCCCCGGGCCAAAAAGAGCACAGAACACGCCGCCTCCGCTAACGAAAACTAAAGCCCCAATTCACTGAGGTCCTTCCCAGCGCTGGAAAACGGAATTCTCGCGGTATCGAAAATGCGCGGACGCTCGCAGCCACACAGGACGAGATGGAGGGCGCAGGCGCACTCACGGCTCTCGGATTGGGCGACTGACTGCAAAGGGCGGGGCAAACAGGACGCGCGCAGGTGTGGGAGCGCCGGCTCGAATCTCCGCGGGAGCTCAGCAGACACGCCCCCGTGCGCGCACCCCCGCCGCCCCACCTTCGGGTGACCACCCCCGTCTAGACTGTACTCTCGCGGTATTTGTGCCGACTCTCGCGGGGTTTAGCGTGGCACTGGGAGGCCGGGCGCAGGAGCTGACGTTCCGTTAGTGGCGTTGGGGGTCTGGCTGCGGTGGCGGTGCTTTCTCCTCTGCCCACGGGGACCCGCTCCGGCTGGACGCCAGCCAGGTGAAGAGCTCGCCCGCATGCGTGCGCGCTGCGTGGGAGCCGCGAGGCCCGGGGCGGGAGGGCGCCGCGTCTTGGCCTCCTGCGCTGTCGCCAAGGCCGGCGTGAGGCACCGTGGCGCGGACTCGGTCCCGGCCCCGCCTCGCCCCTGCCCTGACCGCTTTCCTCCCCCTCTCTCCCAGCTCTTGCCGCCACCTCGGTCGCGATGGGGGCTCAGGACCGGCCGCAGTGCCACTTCGACATCGAGATCAACCGGGAGCCGGGTGAGCTGGAGCCTGGGGAGCGCCGTGGGCCGCGGCCTGCCTCGGCGCTGGGGAGGGTCCGCCCTCAGCTGCCTCCCGGCCCTGCGGGCGCGGGTCGGAGGTGCAGTCCGCTTTCCGTCTCTCCGGACGGAAAACAGCGGGAGCGGACGGTGGCCTGGGCGCGCCCCCAGCTCTCAGCCCGGCCTTGTCCTCCCGAACCCCACACGCCCCCCGCGTCTGCAGACCGAGTGCTCGCGCCAGCCTGGCGCCGGGAGAAGGAGGTGCGGTTCTTTGAGCGCTTTCTCTCCCAGGGTGTCCGTGGGGGAACGCTCCCGATCCGGTTTCCGGTGTCTTCCTTCGTGCTGTGGAGTTCCAACTAGTGGGAAATAGTGTGTGTCCCAATCACGATATGTCACTAAGATGTTATCGCTGCCTCCGTTTGCCCTTGGTCTGTAGCTGCAATTTCGTCTTCCTGGGAACGTCTTTTGTGATAAACCAGAGCGTTCTGTACCAGCAGAAGGGCAGCATGCCTACGTTTGGCACTAATGTTTTGTCTTCCAGCCATTTGTCAGTGCGTTGTTTTGAAAATAAAGCATAGCTGTTTCATTCTAAGTAGCAGAGCGCGCAGGGTTTCAAACTGCTTTCTTAGCTTTTTTGGTATCTGTGACGAAAGTTTTAATTGGAGGCACGTACGTATTGACTGTCTTTGTGCAACATCTTGTTCCGCAGATTCTTATGAGAATCTCTACTGTTGCAGGCTCTGGAGATAGAGCAGTGCGTAAAACAAAGGCCTCCCTCTTACAGTTTATATTCTACTGGGGGGAAGAGAGAGCCGACCTGGGAAAAAGTAGCAGGGACTTTTAGCTGGGCTGCTATTTCAGTAAGTTGGTCAAACAAGGCCATTTTGAGAAGACGACGTTTACGCAGGTTTCTGAAGGAGGCCAAGTGAGGCGTGTTTAAGAAGAGAGTTCGTGTAGAGGTAAATAGTATAGCCCTGAGAAGTAGCGTGGTACAGTCGTGCGCCCAGTGGCACTTCTGTCTCTAACAGTGGTGTTATATATTAAATACCTTATTTTTTCTGTCACTGTTTAATGCTTAGGTATGTTTAGATACACAAATACTTACATTGTGTTAAAGCTGCCTACCGTATTCAGTGTAGTAGCGTCCTGTACAGGTCTGTAGCCTGGGTGTGTAGTAGGCCGGACCGTCTAGGGTTAAGTACACTCGGCGATGTTCACGCAGTGGCGAAATTGCCGAATTACACGTTTCGCAGAATGCGTCCTGGTTATTAAACAGCAGAGGACTGCACTTGCATGTTTGAGGGACAGTAAGGTGCCCAGTGCGGCTGGAGTAGAAGAGGGAAGAGAATACTGACTCAGGTAGGAAGACATTAAAGGGTTTTGAGCAAAGGAATGAGATAATGCTAGAAATTTGGTTGTCTTCTCTCTCTTTAATGTTTTAGCCTTGATTTATTTTTTTAAGTGTCACTAGAAAGCCCTGATGGACCTTAATCCTTGTTCTGTAGTGAATCCATGCTTTAGATAACAGGGTTTTTTTTGTTTGTTTGTTTGGTTTTTTTGGAATTAAAAATGGGCCAGCTTGGTGGCTCAGACCTGTAATCCCAGCACTTTGGAAGGCAGAGGCGGATGGATCATTTTTAGCTCAGAAGTTCGAGACCAGCCTGGCCAACATTGGTGAAACCCTTTCTCTACTAAAAATACAAAACTTAGCTGGGTGTGGCGGCTCTCTTAGTTTTTGCCTATAGTCCCAGCTACTTGAGGGGCTGAGGCTGGAGGATTGCTTGAGCCTGGGAAGCAGAGGTTGCAGTGAGCAGAAATCACATCACTGCATGTCAGCCTGGGTGATGGAGCCAGACCCTGTCTCAAAAAAACAAAAAAGAAAAAGGAATAGAGTGCTGAAAAACAGAAGTATGACCAAGCATGGTAGTTCATACCTGTAGTCGCAGTACTTAGGGAGGCCCAAGCAGGAGGATTGCTTGAAGCCAGGAGTTTGAGACCAGCCTGGGCAACATAGCAAGACCTTGTCTCTACACACAGAAAGATGTTTTTTCATTAGCCAGGCATGGTGGTGTTCACCTGTACTTGGGAAGGTGAGGTGGGAGGATGGCTTGAAGCCAGGAGTTTGAGACCAGCCTGGGCAACATAGCAAGACCTTGTCTCTACCCACAGAAAAATGTTTTTTAATTAGCCAGGCATGGTGGTGTTCATCTGTACTTGGGAGGGTGAGGTGGGAGGATGGCTTGCGCTCATGGGTTTAAGGTGCCGTTGTGAGCTATGATTGCACCACTGCACTCCAGTTTGATCAACAGAGCAAGATGCTGTTTCTAAAAAAGATTTTTTTGTAATTTTAAAAACTTAATAAAAGTACAAGTAAAAAGTTGTGTAGTCATGTTAAGTACTCCTTTCCTAGTAAAAGTTAAGATCCTAGATTTGCACATAACCTGTTGTGAAAAGTCTCCAGAATATGTTTGGCATATGTTCAGCGAACCTCAGTCCTTAACATCTAAGGTAATTCATTCTGATAGATGTGTGTAGATGTGATTAGCACTCTTGAAAATGACAAATCATAAAACAAGGAATGCAATGCTTACATTGTTCTAGGTTTAATCATTTGATAATTGGCAATTTCATATGGTTCAGTCTCATAAAATACTAGCACTTTTTGTGTATATTAACTAAATAGTGGATTTTACACAACTTTTTTTTTTTTTTGAGATGGAGTCTCACTTTTTCGCCCAGGCTGGAGTGCAGTGGTGCAATCTTGGCTCGCTAAAGCCTCAACCTCCGCCTTCCAGGTTCAAGCGATTTTTCTACCTCAACCTCCCCAGTAGCTGGGATTACAGGCATGTGCCACCACGCTCAACTAATTTTTGTGTTTTTAGTAAAGATGGGTTTCACCATGTTGGCCAGGCTGGTCTTGAACTCCTGACCTCAAGTGATCTGCCCTCCTTGGCCTCCCGAAGTGCTGGGATTACAGTCGTGAGCCACTGTACCCAGCTGATTTTACACAGCTTTCAAGGGTCACTTCACTTGTATAAAGTGTGCTGTTCTGTAGGATTTAACCATTAGTACCTATGTCAGGATGCACTTACTCAAGTAATACTCTTGACTACTTGTATCGGTAGTAATTTAGTTGATGTTACAAAACAGCATCTCTGATTTACTTCGATAAGTAAAGATCATTTTAAGAATGGCCACACTGTCCACATTAATGAGACTTGAAGTATTGATAAAAATTCAGTGGAATACAGCACATTATGTCTTTTGCATTACTATCCATAGAAATATGCCCATTTTACAGCAGACAAGTTATTATAAAGCCACTGAATGAATGCAGGTATATCTTTTAAAAGACTTTAAATTGTATTTGAGTTTTTATCTGAATCTAATAAGATGGTTTTTGGAATAATTCCAGGACAGTTTTTTTATAATTTTCTTTTCAGTCATGTAAGATTTTATTTATTAGATGTAAGAATATTTACATTGTCTGTTTTGTTTTTTGTCTATTTCTTCTTAAGTTTTGGTAGTTTGTGGTGTTTTGTTTTGTTTTGTTTTGTTTTGTTTGAGACAGAGTCTCACTCTGTCACCCAGGCTAGAGTGCAGTGGAACAATCTCTGCCCACTGCAGTCTCTGCCTCCTGGGTTCAAGTGATTCTCATGCCTCAGCCTCCCTAGTTAGCGGGATTATAGGCACCCACCATTACGCTTCGTGAATTTTTGTATTTTTAGTAGAGATAGGGTTTCTCCACGTTGGCTAGGCTGGTCTTGAATCCCTGAACTCAGGTGATCCACTTGCTTTGGCCTCCCAAAGTGCTAGAATTACAGGCATGAGCCACCATGTCCAACCTGTGGCTTTTATTAATAAGATACTGGTGCGTTTCATCTAAGTTGTCAAGTTTATCTGCTTAGAGTTGTTTGCCATAGCCTCTTATTTTAATATCTGTGGGGTCTGTAGTGATGGCTCTTTTCAGTCCTGATATTGATAATCTGTGCCTTTTGTCTTTTTCCTTTTTCAGTCTGACTAGAGGTTTATCCGCTTTATATTTTCAAAGAACCAGATTTTGGTCTGATTGAATTTTGTTTCTGATTTTCTGTTTTCAATTTCATTGATTTCTTTGTTTCTTTCTAATGCTTGCTTCAGTTTTTATTTTGTTCTTTTTCTAGTTTCTTACTGGTGAAGCATATATTGTTTAATTTTATACCTTTTTTGGTTGTTGAGGTGGAGTCTCAAATGACTTCTAATTTAATTCCATTATGGCTAGAGAACACACATTATTTCAGTTCTTCGTGCACTTGAAAAGAATACACATTCTGATTTTTTTGTGTAGTGTTCTATAAATGTCAGTTAAATCCAGTTGGCTATGAGTGTTGCTCAGTTTTTTTTTA